GGTATTCTCAAACTGTAGAGTATATCACAATAACCAGAACTTGATAAAACACTATTAGATTTAATTGTCAAGTTTCTGACACAATAAGCATGCAGTGAGGTCCAATAACTTACATTCTTACTGGTTGCCATGTGATGCTGACATTGAAAAACAGACCATACTTAATACAGCCAAACTGGCACTTAAGGGCCAGCCAGAAAGCTCAGCGGATTAAAGCACCTGCAAGCAGGCACAGGGGCCAGGGGTTCAATGCTCAGGCCTGCCGAGCCAGCCCCAGGTCACACTGAGACTGGAGACTGGGCGTGGTGGTGCACGCCTGGATCACTACAAGTCTGATCTAATAGTGAGACCCTGAACACCCTGTAGATCCTTACCTAAAATACAAAAAAAAAAAAAAAAAAAAAAAAAAAGAAAAGGAAAACTGGCACTCTAATGACCTTTTTTCTCTCTCTCTCTCTTTTTTTTTTTTCAGTACCAGGGATTGAACTAAGAACCCTGCATTTGCTAGGCAAGCACTTACTCCAATGAGCTCTCTCCCCAGCCCATCAGGTGATCTTTTAGCATCATTTAAAGTTTGCTATTTCCCATGTATCAATGTATCAACCTAAAAACTCTGACTAAAGTTGTGTGTACAATGTACAACTGGAAAGTAGACACATAAAATTAAGTTGCATTAATTTGTAATAGGTAATAACTGGAAACAACTGGGATTTCATTTATTTATTTATTTATTTATTTATTTATTTATTTATTTATTTGAACCGGGGATTAAACTCAGGCCCTTATGCTTGACAGGCAAGCACTTACTCCCTGGCCCCCTTGGGATTTCAGATAAATATTTAAAATGAGATACAATACCTGGAATAGGTTTTGAAGGATTTCTGGTGAAAGTACAATATTTTACTTCTGTTGCATCATACTCCGCCCTAAGCTGTTTCATTTTATCTATTTCCAATTGAATCTTTGAGGAATTATTTTTAATAATCCTTATTCTGAAAAACAGAAAGACTTTCTGATGTTTCTATCAACTAATTTAATTCTTGAGTCATAAGATTTAAAACAAAACAGGGTAAGTCATTATTCTGTTTAATTATTCTGAGTCATATAAGAAGGTAGTTCAAGAAATAATGTCCTAAAAAAGTTAACTTTACAAATGTGGAACAATTTTCTTTCAGAGTACCAGTAATATCTAATACTATGATTATCAATCTCATTGGAAATTCATAAATGTTAAACATAATCTAGAGCCAGCTGGATAGCTCAGCAGACTGAAGCACCTGCTTAGGCAGAAGCAGGGACGAGGGTTCTATCCCCATGTGCTGTGCTGGCCCTGCCCCCAGGGCATGCTGAGACGCTATTGAGACTGGGTGTGATGGCGTACCTGTAATCCTAGCGCTTAGGAGGCTGAAAACAGGAGGATCACTATGAGTCCTATCTGTGTAGTAAGACCCTATAGACTATATATATATAGATATGTAACAAATCATTGCCTCATTGTCCTGGAATGCAGAAGTCCAAAACAGTATCACCAGACCAGAATAAAATAGTAAGGACTGTGCTTCCTCTGAAAGCTCTAGGACTAAATCCTTGCCTTGCCTCTGCTACCCTCTGGGGCCTGCACAATTCTATGGCTGTGAAACTTCAATCTTTATCTCCATGGTCACACTGTCTTCTATCCCTGTGTCAAAGACCCCTCTGCCTCCCTCTTATAAGGATATTTATGATTGGATCCTGGGCCCTTCTGTTTAATTTCCATACCTCAAAAGCCTTAGTTCAGTCAGATCTGCAAAGACCTCTTTCAAATTAAGTTAAAAAAAACTACAGACTACAGGGATTAGAACCTGGTATCTTTGAGGATCACTATTGAGTCTCTAAGGCAGTAAAACTGATCCTGGAGCTACAGGAAGGATTTACTTTTCTAAGGTACAATTAGGGACTGAACTCAGGCCCTTGCACTTGCCAGGGAAGTGCTTATTCCACTGAGCCATCTCCCCAGCCCTCTCCCCCCAAAAAAGAATCTTAAAAACCTAAAAGTAGTATAAATTCTTTCCTTCCTTCATTCATTCCTTTGCTGTAATTCCTTCCCTCTTTCTTCTAACTTTCTTGTACTGTTTGTTTTTGAGCCAGGGTGGTACATTGCCTAGATCTGCCTTGAACTGCTAATCCTCCTACCTCACCTCCTGAGTAGAAGGAATTACAGCAGTGTGCCACTGCACCTGGCCAAAAACTTTGTTTTAAAAATTATTTGAGATTGAATTCATAGCTTTGTTGGCATAAAGGAGAAATAACATTAAAATAAATTAGAAAATAACAAATTAAAATAGATACTATTACAGGAAAATTAACACTTGTTAAAAGATAGTAAAGATGACTGTGGAAGCAAGAGGGGTCATGGCAATAGACACAGTGGGGTTTTGCTGTGGGGGAGAAAGACTGGGCTCAACTCCAAATACAGCTTTGGCGCCTGGGAATCTGGAGGGGGTAGAAAATTACTAAGATGAAACATTGCAAGGAGAGATTCCCAATAACTGGCCACAGGATTCTGTGAATGGCAGGCCAAGCGGACAATCAACATGTAGAGTGAGGAAACTGAAGACTGCAGGGTCAAACACTAAAGATGACTAAATATGAAAGGGTGAGAGTTTTGTCTAAAACAACTTGACAGGATTCTTGCTAAAACTGAATAGTACAGATGAATAGGAAAGTCCCAAATCAAGGCTGGTGTGATGGCTTGTGTCTAGATGTCCCCCTAAAGCCTCACCCAGCCATGGGGCAGGGCTGTAGAGACTGTGATTACTTCATGATCCAACGCTAGGATTATGGGTGCAAGTGCTACACCCACCCTGGGGCAGAGAGCCTGGATGCAACACAAGGGAGGGAAAGAGGCTTGCTCTCAGCTGGCTTCCCCTTTCGCTCTTGCTGCTTTTGCTGGTTTCCTCCCCCATGAACTGCTGCCCTCTGACAGGTGCCGTTCTGCCTTGGAGCCAGCCAAGTATGGACTGAAACCTCCACAAACTGTGAGCTAAATAAACCTTTCCTGCCTTAATTTTGGTTGTCAGTTATTTTGTCCCAGCAACAAAAGAAAAGTAACTGAGACACCTGGTTGAAAAAGAGTTCAGCAAAGCCTAAGCAGAGTTTCTTCAGAGAATATTTGTCAATAAATGACAGTTTTTCATTTGAAGTAAAACCTAGTCTCTCATCAAAGCATGGCACACACACCTGTAATCCTGGCTCCTCATGAAGCTAATATAGGAGGACTGCAAAATTGAGTCCAGCCTAGGTAACTTAGAGCTTGTCTCAAAAAAATAATTAAAAAGGACAGGGGCTGTGACACGATATGAAACCCTGGGTTTGATCCTGGGTTCAATTCCCAATACCAAAGCAAAAGAGAAATAATAAGTCAGTAGATAACTGCAGGTAGCTTCTGACTATCATACAGAGCTCTTGATAACTACAATGGCTCAGACTAAGGGTCTGTAGTATTCATGAAATGGAGATGTGAAAATAAAATAGTGGAAAATAAATAAAATAGAATGCTGTGGAAATAAAATAACAAACTTCCTACAGAACTGAAATCAGGGCCTAGGACACTTATACATGAATGTTCATAGTGACATTTTCATAAAACAATCTAACAGTCTATCAATAGATAAATGGATAAACAAAATATAGAATATACATATTGTATTATATGCAATAGAGTATTATTCAGTCATAAAAAGGATATTCTAATATATGCTACCATATGCAGGAGAAGGTATCTGATTGTTGCCCCTTCCTATGCTACTTTTATGTTCTTTCTTTTTTAAATTCTTAATTTTTTTTTTATGTACTTGGTACAGGGAGATCAGACTCATAGTGATCCTCCTGTTTTTAGCCTCCCCACACTGGGATTACAGGCATGCTCCACCACACTGGGTCCCAGTGGCCAGCCTAGCAAGCACAGTGTTGGGGGGGCGGTGCAGATACGGTGCAGGGGATCAAACCCTGGTCCCTGTGCTTGCCTAAGTAGGCCCTTAGTCTGCTGAGCTATCTCTCTAGCCCTCTATGCTTCTTTGATGATCTCCTTGTTTTGGGGGGGTTTTGGGCAGAACCTGGGATTGAACTCAGGCCCTTGAGCTTGCCAGGCAAGCGCTTATTCTACTGCGCCATCTCCTTAGACCCTTGATCTCCTTGTTTTTAACAACTTCACAATGATGAAACTAATTGACTTTTTTTTTTTTTTTTTTTACTTTAGGGAATGGTCTACAGGGTGTTCAGGGTTTCACTACTATATCGACTCGTAGTGATCCACCTGTTTACAGCCTCCCAAGAGCTGAGATTACAGCTTGGTTGTAGGCTCCATGTGCTTGAGGGGGTGGGGGGAGTGCAGCATGTGGTACCAGGAAACCCTGGCTGCTGCGCTTGCGTAAGCAGGTGTTTAGTTCACTGAGCCAGTTTACTGGCCCTTGCTCACAGGCTTCTTTTTTTTTTTTTTTTAATTGCAGTACTAAGGATTGAAATCAGGACCTTATGCTTGCCAGGCAGGCGCTTATGCCACTGAGCTATCTCCCCAGCCTGAATCCTTTGTTTTATGATACTACAATTTTCCTCCAATAATAATAAGCATCATAAAATTCTCAAACAAAAATACCATTTTTGGGGCCGGGAGATGGCTCAGTGGAATAAGTGCTTCCCTGGCAAGCGCAAGGGCCTGAGTTCAATCCCCAGTTCCACCAAAAAAAAAAACAAAAAAAAAAACATTTTTTCTTGAAATACATAAAAAATTGGTAGCAGAGGATAACATAAACTATGGCTTTTAAAATAAAATTAAAAGGAATAAGAACCACTGGTTAATTATACTAACTGGTTATCATAATTAAGTAATAATTATAGCCTTTTAAACTACTTACTAATTTACTCACTTTTCTTTGAGTTGGATTATTCTTCTTTGGTGATGTACCAAAGCTGTAGGCTCTGCTGCCAAAGCCTTTAGTTTTCCACGAAGATGAAATGCAGTTCTCTGGTGTTCCTTTATTGTTTCAATAAAGGTATCATATTCTTTTTTGATTGAAGTAAGAATGGATTTGTATGCAGTAACATATTCTATTACCTGAAATATAATTGTTTCTGCTTATGGGAATGAATTTTTTCTAGAAGAATACAAATAAAAAGCTTTACAAACAATTACAGATCATTAAAAATGAAACAAATGTGAAAATGAAAAGGAAGCTAGGCTAGAAGAAATAGTTTTTCTTCTAGAAACATTTAGGCCATTTCAGATTGCCTCTCAGTCCTGAAGAACAGAATTCTTCACAGTATCAAATAAATGTAAACTTACACATAACATACAAATAGTCCAGACAGAAATCTTGGAAATAAAAGAGAAAAGGAAGACTATAAAACTAGATATTATTTTAGGTAATCCCATTATTTTCTCTATGAATTACATTTACAAACACCAACTGAAAAATGATTTCACTATAGCTACCCTAATTTAAAGCTAACAGCTCTTTATGGAAGAAAAATTCTGGTGAGTCAGCATTCAGGCATGCAAGTTCTTTTGCTGATTTCACATAGAAGTCTCAGCATGACTCAATATTTATGAAACCTATTCAAAGTAACACCTTTATTTAAACATTCATGCAATACATTCCTTAATAACTACAAGACCAACAGTAGTATTGACATGGCAGAGACTCCATTCTCTTTTTAACTCTATTTTAGAAGTCACTTAAACTTTAGATGAGTTGCTCCTCACCTCCTTTCCTCTTAACCATAAAACCCAAAAAAGAAGTACAAATTGTTCTAAGGAACAAAAAAACAAATCGTAGATAATCTAAAATTTAAACATACTAACAAACTCTCAGGAAACATAAACTTTGTGATATTTTTGTAAAATTCCAAAAAGAGGTAATGTGGTTACCATGGTTACCTGTAAATGTATAAAAACTCAGTGAAAAGTTCTCTGGTCATCGACAATCCCTGATTTTGCATCAGGGTGTCATCCTGCCAGCAAGAAAAGCCTTGTTTCTTCCTGTCCTTGGCTTCTCATGAGCATGTATATGGCTGAATTTTACCACAACAGTATCAGTGATCATCACAACATATAAAAGGAAGATAACCTGCTAATGTACCAATTCCAAAAGACAGATTTTTTTTTGTATTAAAGTGGAGCAAACATGCCATTTCTCTATTGTATACTCTTATTTATACATATCGATTTTCTTAATTCCATTGATAGGTACATATCAAGACTTCACACCCTCTTTTACATAAGAGTACTGTTTCTGCTATTGGGAAATTGAACACAGGGCCTCCACATTGTGCTACATCCTCAGCCCTATTTTACTTTTTATTTTGAGACAGAATCTCACTAAGTTAGCCAAGTTGGGTTCAAACTTGTAGTTTTCTTCCTGCCTTAGCCTCCTAGAGTGTTGGGATTACAGGAATATACCACCACACCTGGCTACGCTACTAAGTTTTTACTTAGAGAAGAAATAAGATGCAGAGGACCAGCCAGATAGCTCAGTGGACTAAAGAGCTGCTTAGGCAGAGCGCAGGAACCTGGTTCTATCCCTGGCATGCTGTGCTGGCCCAGCCCCTGGGGTGCACTGAGACAGCGACTGGGACTGGGCATGGTGGAGTGCACATGCAATCTCAGCACTAGCAAGGCTGAAAACAGGAGAATCACTAAGAGTCCAATCTGTGTATTAAGACTCTGTAGACCCTGTACTAAATACATTTTAAAAAAGAAAGATTTATGGTGTTATATTTAAAAATTAAATAAAAGACTGATTTCCAGTTTTGCCTGTTTTACTCAGAAACCAAGAGTTTGCTAGCTAAAGTCTTAAAGTAAGCACTTGGTCTAGGCAAAGAGGAAAGAAGGTTGATTTATTTTACTGTCAGGCATTCTTCAAAGGAAGGATTTTTTTTTTTTTTTTCCAGAACTGGTGATTGAACTCAGGCCCTTGTGCTTGCCAGAAGCACTTATTCCACTGAGCCATCTCCCCGACCCGGGAGGGATATTTTTAAGGCAAAATAATTTGAATCAATAAGAAAACTGTAATTGTTTAGAAGGAAAAGTTATTTCTAAAGTTTAAAAGAGCCGCAACAAATATATAACACTTTTTTTTTTTCCCGGTACCGGGAATTGAACTCAGGACCCTGAGCTTGCCAGGCAAGTGCTTATTCTACTGAGCTATTTCCCTGGCCCAGCATATAACACTTTTTAATGTGATCTCCATTAGTATTTCCTCTAAGGCTAGTCAAACCCCTTGTTCACCATGCTTGTCTAAACCTGTAACAATAAGATATCTCAATCTTTAAACCAAGCTTTTCTTTTTCCATTTGTCTATTTTATTTGTTCTGAACCAGGGTTCTTACCAAATTGCCCAGGCTGTCCTTGGTCTCCTGGTTTCAAAGGATCCTCTAGTCTCAGCCCCCACAATAGTTGAACTAAAAGCACAGGTCACTGTGGCTGACTCAAAAGGTCTGTTTAATGTGCTACATCAAATCTAAATGAAGGATTTAGTGATACCATAAACAAACCCCAACAACAATGAAGAATGAGGGTCTGAATGCAAACTTCAGATGAATGGGTCAAAATGAAATCAGAGAGCACAGACAAATTGTTCATCAAAATAGCTTGCTAAACCCAAGGTGGTGGTGCATGTCAGTAATTCCAGCTACTTGGGAGGCTGAGGCAGGAAGATCACAAGTTTGGGCCACTTAAGAGTCTGTCTTAAAATAAAAATTAAACTAAAAAGAACTGGGTCTGCAGGCTTGGGTTCAATCCCCAGTGCCACCAGAAAAAAAAAAAAATCGACGTGAGAAGCTAACGTAAGAAAACTTTTGTTAGCAGGTAATATAAATCCAGTGCTGCATTTTCATCTCTTTCAGACAAACTGGATGAACTTCTCATAAACAAGCAGAGTGTAGAGAAACGATAAGTGTTACTTGTAAGGCAGGAGCATTAGTTGGCAAGACAATTAATTTCTATCTTCCTGAAAATCTCCTTATCTTAAGAGCACTGCCACACCTTGTCAAACACATTTCTGTAGATAATGTAATACTCATCTGCAGGTCCGTTCTCATCACAGCCCACTCTTTCCGTTTCCGTAATTATGTATCTTTGCATACTCTCCAAGAATTCCTTGTCACTCTTGCTAATGATAGGAGGGAGAACAGCATGTTTATGCATTTCTTGGGCCCACATCAGTCACAATATGCACACTTTTCGCCAGAGGACCATTAAATCTTGACCAGTTTTGGCGCAAGCCCAAAATTTTAACAAGTCTGAAAGGAAAAAAAGAATATAAATTAATCTAAAGGATTAAAATTAGAAATCAAATATTAATGTAAAAATGTATAGTTGTTTCAGAAAAAAAAAATTCCATGGATAAATATTTCAACATATAGATCAAAATGTCTACGTAATTCTGATACATGTTTCAACTCTGACAATGATACACCAAATACTGCTCAATTAACAATCTGTCCCTTTCTACTCAACAACTTTTCTCATATATATCATATGAACTATAATTTCTTATTTTAACTCAACACTTTCATTTCTTTATCTATTTTGGTTTTTTAAGGTAGGGTCTCGGCACCATCCTGAACCAGCCGTGGCCTAGTAGATTGTAACCATGAAGTTCAACCCTTTTGTGACCTCGGACCGCAGCAAATGCCACTTCAATGCCCCTTGCACGTGCACCGAAAGACCGTGTCTCCCCCTCATTCCAAGGACCTGCCGCAGAAGTACAACGTCCGCTCCACGCCCATCGGCAAGGACGATGAGGTCCAGGTGGTGCGAGGACACTACACAGGTCAGCAAATCGGCAAGGTCGTTCAGGTGTACAGAAAGAAATACATCATCTACCTCAAGCGGGAGCAGCATGAGAACGCGAATGGCACGACCGTCCGTGTGGGCATTCGCCCTGGCAGGGTGGTTATCACCAGGCTAAAACGGGAAAAAGACAGAAAAAAGATGCCTGGACGCAAAGCCAAGTCTCCACAAGCTGGAAAAGAGAAAGGCAAACACAAGGAAGAGCTCTTTGAGAAAATGCAGGAGTGAATACAACCTGTGGTGCAGTCGCGGTTTACCTGGAGATGCTGCCCACCCTGTGCTTCTCTGGAACTTTTCAAGATGTCTCTGGAATGTCTCATTGCCTCCTGGTTTGGTCGTTGATACATGGCTCTGTCAATCTATTCTTGTAATTTTTGATTAATAATTTTATGAATAAAATTGGAGCTATTTTCCAACTCAAAAAAAAAAAAAAAAAAAAGATAGGGTCTCACTATTACTTTAGGCTGGCCTTGAACTAATGGTGTAGCACAAGCTGCCCTCAACTTATGGCAATGGTCCTGCCTTAGTCTCCTGAGTGCTGGGAGCACAGGTCTGAGCCACCACACCTACTTTTCTTTTTTATTTATTTGTTAACAGTCCTGAGGATCAAAATCAGAGCATTATGCATGCTATACAAGCATTCTACCACTGAGCTATACCCCAACCCTTTTAAATTTTTTTATATTACTTTTCTTTTTGGTACCAGGAATCAAACTCATGACCTCATACTAGCAGGCAGATGCCATGCTGCTAAGCTATATCCCCAGTCCCATTATATTAATTTTTTTTTTAATTTTAGGGAAGGGCTACAGGGTGTTCAGGGTCTCACTACTAGATTGGACTCATAGTGCTCTGCCTGTTTACAGCTTCCCAAGAGCTGGGATTATAGGTACGTGCCCAGTCCAGTCTCAATTGCCCTCTCAGAGCACCCTGGGGGCGGGGCCGGCACAGTAGGCCCAGGATCGAACCCCCAGCCCCTGTGCCTACTTGCAGGTGCTTTAATCTGCTGAGCTATTTGGCCAGCCCCCATTATATTAATTTTAATAATAACTGTAAGGACAGCTTAAGTGGGTTAAAAAATAATTATTGAAATTCACTGCTTCCTAATAGGAAGCTTAGTGTTTCATTAATGTTTCATATGGGAAAATAAATTCTTAATCCTGTTGATATAACAAACAAGGTCAAATACCTCTCTATACCAGTGCTTACCTGGCCCAGTATCCAAGATACCAGAGCTATAATCAGTATTTATGATAAATTTTATTATAATTATCATCCTTAACATGAGAGCACTATAAAAAGTAAGAGGTAGAACTTCTCTTAAATTTTACCTACCAAGGGTGCGTATACAGCTCAAGGTCAGAGCATCTGCCTTACATGTGCCAAGTCCTACATTTAATCTCCAGCCCCATGAAAGAAAAAAAAAATTTATTCCTCAATAATGTCAGATACCTGTACCTTTCAGAGTGTGCTACTCAAGCAGATATATTATGTACTCCAGTAGATTCTGCTAGCAAAGAATCATCATCCAACTGAAGTTGGACACAGAAGTGAGTACCTAGGATCTACTCACAATATCAAACAGAACCCTTGGCTCACTTTATAATGTCTGGCAAGATAAAACATTTTAACTTCCCTCCGATTACAGAACTGTATGTTCAAGGCATGAAATTTGGAAAATAGTCCTGTTTAGTGGTGATGCCTGCAATCATGGCTACCTGGGAGGCTTGACGGGAGGGTCTCAAGTTCAAGGCCAATCTGGGCAACTTAGTGAGAAACTGCCTTAAATAAACAGAAAGGCCTGGGGATGTAGCTTAACATTGCCTGGATTCAATCTCTGGTACAGAAAAATATGCATATAAAATAAATCAAAGAAAATTAGTAAAAAAAAAAAAAAAGTTCTTTACTAATCATCATTTAATATTAACATATATCTC